ATTCACTGCAGTTTCCAGCTAAAATGACCACTACACTCTTAAAAATAAAGGTGCTTCAAAAGGTTCTTCAAGCGATGCCATAGAATTTTTGATTCCACAAAGAACAATTCAGTCATAGGTTCTTTAAAGAACCATCTCTTTCTTACCTTTTTATAATCTGAAGAAACTTCTTTTGGCATAAAAGGTAAGAAAGAGATGGTTCTTTAAAGAACCTATGACTGAATTGTTCTTTGTGGAATCAAAAATTCTATGGCATCGCTTCTATGGCATCGTGAAGCACCTTTATTTTTAAGAGTGTAGTGGCAGTAAAACACTAACCAATTTTATTCGTTTTCATACAGATTATTCATTAATAAATACATTTTCATGCGGTTAATTGCACAATAGTATGTTAAACACTTTTACCAAAGTGCATGATTTGTAATAATACATTTTGAAATTTCACATTTGCATTACATAACCAGCTCCATTTGATTGGCTTTTCTGATGAAGTAAAATTGCTCTGTAGTTCACCTGGTACTCAAAACACAAGCCATGTCAAAAGAGCTCAAACACTTATAGAAGCGAGCTGAAATGGCATTGTTGCTTAAGCAAATACGATTTTTTATCTCAAGTTTGCTTTTGTTAACACTATTGGTTACATTTAGGGTAGGGTTCAATGTAGGCGCTGCGTAATTTTTAAACGCGAAAGAGCATTAACCGGACATTTTACTTTGAAAGTGTCGCGAAAATGCTCAAGCAGCAACATAATATCATTTTGTAGAAATGTTGCCACAAGAACGTTTTTTTACAGTGAGCTTGGGTTGGAACAGAAGTACATTGGCTCCTCAGTGAGAGACTGAGAGGGTCTATAAGGGACAGTCATGGTGTCCTCCAGCATCAGATCCTCAATCCACTCCAGCCTCCACGGAGATATCTCCATGACAACCGCAGAACAAGAGAATGCAAATGAGCCTAATACCAAGGTGTTCTGGGAGAAAAGGTCACACGTACAACCACTTCCATTCTCTGATTTCCATTTCATTCAGCTGTTTAAACACAGACTGTCCCCCACATACAATCAAACTGCCATTAAACAACGGAATAAAGGAACTCAAAGGATCACATTCAATGAGAAACAGATAAGTGTGAGTGTTGACAAAGATAAGAAATAGTCCTTTAATGGGAATATGGGATATAGACGCAGTTCCTGCTGTTCCAGCAGCACAATGAATCGATCGTTAAAAGACGGCATCAGTTGAACTCCAGAGACTTTTTTTTTTTTTTTTTTTTTTTATTTTTTTTTTTGGTGTTTTTTTTTTTTATTGGCGCCGACGAACTCCAGAGATTATTACAGCTACTTGTATTACTCCCATGACTGCAGCTCAACTTTAAATTATAGACTGAAAGTGAGCTTTGCAGCCAAAACAGGAAGAAACAGTCAGTTACCATCACGCAAAGTTGCTAAGGTGACAAGCCATCAAAGGAAGCCATCAAAGGAAATCTATACTGTACTAAAACTCACTCTAGATTAGTTACAGTTACTGTAGCTAGCTACCACAACAGCACAATATCTGGGCCTATTTCTGAGTGTGCTTACAATCATTTACCATGGGGAAAAAATGAATTTTTAATATATTTTCATGCAATTTTAATGACCATTCAGAAATATTCATGGTCAGTAAAGTTTCTCAATTTATCTATCATTGGCAGGTGTGGCATAAAAGTTTTGTGCCCTGCATTCAAAATGGCAGGGCAGTACCAATACACAATACAATACTCACATGACACTCTTTAACAATAAGAACACTCTTCCCTTTTATGCACAAACAGCCAGAAAGCAAACAATCTTGCATGCTAGTGGAAACTGTGTAGCCTGTAAAGAGAGACACAGTATTATTACCACACCTAAACTCTTCAGCACAAGTTGCTAATTAGATCTTTGAACCACCTGCACTATTCATATGTGTGAAGACATAGTATCACTACAGCAAAGTGCTATACAGAGAAGCAGTAATGAGTTCAAAAAGCACAAAATGTCAAAGCAAAATGCCAGTTAACCATTAAACAATTTCTGCCACAGTTTAAAGGGATAGTTCACCCAAAAATGAAAATTCTGTCATTAATTACTCATGTAGTACCTCATGTCGTTCTAAACCTGTTAAGACCGCCATTCATCTTCGGAACACAAATTAAGATATTTTTTATGCATTCTGACAGCTCTCTGACCCTCCCATAGACAGCAAGGGTCCTTACACGTTCAAGGTCCAGAAACGTAGCAAGGACATCGGTAAATTAGTCAATGTGACATCAGGGGTTCAACCATCATTTTACGAAGCTACGAGAATACTTTTTGTGTGCAAAAGAAAAAAAATAACGACTTTATTAAACAATTTGTCTCCTCCATGTCACCCTGGTATTGACTATTTTACCGATCTCCTTGCTACATTTCTGGACGTTGATCGTGTAAGGACCCTTGCGGTCTATGGGAGGGTCAGAGAGCTGTCAGAATGCATCAAAAATATCTTAATTTGTGTTCCGAAGATGAACAAAGGTCTTACGGGTTTGGAACGACATGAGGGTGAGTAATTAATGACATAATTTTAATTTTTGGGTGAACTAACCCTTTAAGCACAAAATTCAGTTTGTTTTTTTCCATGTGAGCAAAGTCCACATTTGTACATGTAGCCTATGTGACGACTTGTCACACCTGTTAGCCTTGCTTGACCACTGCAAGCTACTGTTTACAATACTGGCTTGATTTTGACATGGAGTTATAACTGAATTTCACTGCTTGTAGGATTGTTTCCCTTTTTTCAAAGCGAGGAAATGGTGTGGCTATACTACACTTGCTTCTTCCCTCCCGGGGCAACAACATTTACACATAGTTGTGCTTTAGAGTGTATGAAAAAGGGAACACATTTTTAGTTACACAACCAAGTGACATTCAAAAAGCAAGTAGTGGAGCATTCAAATAGGACAGAGAGTGCAACTGGAATACGGTTGAGCGAGGACATGAGAAGTTTTGGGTGTCCTCAAGCTCAGTACAGGGCAGTACAAGACAGGGAGGGCTGGTAACAGATTACATCTGACCAATAGCAGCTGGTCTCTATCAGAAGGGCAGAACTGTGTCCCTTAAGGGCTGGAGGTCAAATAGGGAAGTCTGCCAACATAAAGTGTTTGACAAGCAGAATCACAGAAACAGCATAGTTTGGCCAGCGCAACTGTGATTTGTGCAATATTGTGCAACACAAGTTAATGTGAAATTTAACCACAACAGCAGTATCTTCAATGCAATCTCAAACTGAAAACAGAATGTTATTTGAACTCTTTATTCCACGGCCAAATCAATACAGTGGTTATTTAGAAAAAAACAAACAAACAAATAAATAAATAAATAAAGTCTATAAACATTAAGAACTGACAATACCAAAAATAAATAAAAATAATAAATAAAAAATTGTGCTGATGCAAGAATAGTTGCAAAAACGGCTGTACTGCAAATGATAGCTTTATTGTTTTTGTGCATGGGAAAAACAACAGGATGTTTTCTGTTGTCTCTAAGTATACATAGGGTTTAATAAAGGATAATAACTATATTGTGTGTGTGTGTGTGTGTGTGTGTGTGTGTGTGTGTTTGCACCTGCAACACACCTGCACAAATATTACATGTGTGCGCAGATAAATCACACCAGACAAATGGTGATTCATTAACGTGAATCGGTTCTTTCAAACAGTTATTTTCAAATAACTAGTATGAAACCGATTCAGTAATTATTTTAATGTTTGGACTTGAGCATGTCATCACTCATCACATGGGCCTTATTATGCTATAAAAACATATTAGGCCATAAAGAGTAAAGACATCTTCCTGGTTATGATTTTTGATTAAGCTTTGTTAATAAGGGTGTTTATAGTAATTTCATATGTCCCAATTCAGTGTGTAGCAGCCAGTCAGCTTATAAAAACGTAATTTTTAAACGTCATAAAAGTCATTTAGAACTTAAATATAATTGGCATTTATGCTAGACAATATTAAAATATACTTATCTCTAGGGTGGCAAGAAAAGTTTTGCAAAATGCCATTTTTTAAACCAACTCGTTTCATATGCTTGTTGATAAATACAATCAAGTCATACTCATGTTTACTGTAAATCTGTCATTCTCATTACGAGTTTGACATGAGACTATTCTTAGTCCAGTGAGTAGCCTACAGTGAGTTGCTTGGTCAAGAACCCCTCGGACTGATTCAGTCCGATTCGTGAACCAACCATTCGAGGATGTTTCATAAAGCCTAAGCAGATCATAGAAACCACCCACAGCAATTGTCCCTACAATACAGGTGCATCTCAATAAATTAGAATGTCGTGGAAAAGTTCATTTATTTCAGTAATTCAACTCAAATTGTGTTGTGAAGGGTGTCAATGATTGTCTTCTGGACAACTGTCAGATCAGCAGTCTTCCCCATGATTGTGTAGCCTAGTGAACCAAACTGAGAGACCATTTTGAAGGCTCAGGAAACCTTTGCAGGTGTTTTGAGTTGATTAGCTGATTGGCATGTCACCATATTCTAATTTGTTGAGATAGTGAATTGGTGGGTTTTTGTTAAATGTGAGCCAAAATCATCACAATTAAAAGAACCAAAGACTTAAACTACTTCAGTCTGTGTGAATTTAATTTATTTAATACACGAGTTTCACAATTTGAGTTGAATTACTGAAATAAATGAACTTTTCCACGACATTCTAATTTATTGAGATGCACCTGTATACTAGTTTACAATCCGTTTAGAAAACGCGCAACCCAGACCGGTTCAACTGATTCATCAAAAAGATCCGATTCAAAAAGAACGATTTGTTCACGAATCGGACATCAACACAGCAACCAAACTGGTGTAAAAAACACAGGGCCTACTCCAAACCTCTCATACACAAATACTTAACGTAACTACATAAACTCAATTCCTAACAATGTATTTTTTATTTGTTCAATGCAAAGATACTATGAAATATGAATCTTACCTTTGGCGTGACAATCAGCGCAGAACTTGTTTTCCTCTAACGCCAGAAGCGACGTGAGAACAGCCTGATAGCGATCAATGTCTTTGACTGATTTACCCGTCATCTTTAGAAATCAGTCTCTCTCTGATCTACCTGCTCCGTAAATAAATAGTCCAACGCCGCTGAGAAGATGCTCAGATGTTTTTGCGTTAGTGAAACACACCGGGAAGCGGATTGCCGATTGTCACAAAACCGACTGCCGCTGCAGATGAAGAGAAAAACACTACTGTACGTTACTGCTGGCTTCCGCTAATCTTACAAGGAAGAGGAAAAAGCATTGAATCATGGCTCATATAAAAACAACACCATATTCCTCGCTGTACATTCGCTGGTCATTGACACCCAACTTTCCACCCGCAGTATCAGAAACACATCAAGCACGTTCAAGCACACTTCAGTATTACTCTTCTGAGCTGCGCTTATAGTCCCCGCACTGCCTCTGTTAATTGCGCCTTCTCCTGGTCTTCAGACATGTGCTGTTTAAAACATTCTGTGTCTAAAAGACCGCACAACTAATCCAGAATCAGATAGACAATTGCGGTCGTGATGTTCGCTGTTCAATCATGCGAATTACAACCCTTTTGTGACATTTATAGAATTTGGGAAATTGCGCCACCCTGCGGGGAAAAACGACACTGCATTCATGTTCGTGCAGTCACGCAGGAAAGACATTTTAATTAATGATCCTTTCTTAGTAACTTAGTCATTCTTGAGACATGGGACAAAACAGGTCCAGCAAGGGTAACTGCTATTAGGTTTAAAAATAAAAATATTTTCAATTTTAAATGTCATGAGGGATTAATAATATAATGTATTTAACACAATTATCACCTTCAATTTAATTTTCTCATTATTATACCAAATCTATGTTTCTTAATGTCCTCTCACTACATCTAAAACAGTGTGTCCACAGAGAAGGGTTCAATCATTCATATGCAATAAAATGGATAAAAATGTTTTTTTTTTTAATAATGAAAAAGAGCTTGTTTTATCAAAAGCAACACTTAATAATATCTCCTATCAAAGCAAGGTTGTTTTTTAATGACACATGCATGTTTAATACACTTTTTGTCAACACCGTCAGACATTCAATAAAATGTAATAAAATCAGGGAATATCAGGAGGGGCAGCTGTCACTCTAAAGGACCCCCTTGCCACAGTTCACCTCTGCAGAGTACATCAGTGTCGGACAGGCTCTGCTAAGTTTTAGTTTTAGAATATTTTAAATCCTAATGTTAATATCTCCTGTGTCACAGCCATGATATGTCAACACCATCTTCCAATTTCTGAGGAAATTATTTGAAATATTTAGATAATTTTATTCTCCTGAAGCAGGTTCCATTAGCATCTAGCATCAACAGAAAAAAA